CAGGTGAAGACTTTGTGTGATGTCAATAAGAGGTACAAGGCTAGACTTGTTAAAAAGGGCTTTCAGCAGACATGATGTTGCTCATGCAGTGTGAGTTGTAAGAAGAGACAAGAGTGACCCATGAAATAGTTTGGAGGTGCAAAGCTATGTGGAGTCTGCTGATCTGTTAACTAAGGGTGTTACTCTTAAGAAACTGAAGTTGTGCACAACTTCAGTTGGTCTTTTGGAGTGAAGACAGAGGCTTTGAGTTGCAGAGGTGGAGGATTCACAGTGGAGGATTCAAGGTGGAGGATACATGTTAAAGAAAAAGGCAACACCGCCAGTGGAGGATATTAGTTTGAGGAAGAAGACGTTGTAGCATGTGTATCGATCTCCATGTGAGAGATTGTTAGCGTTGGAGACTGCTCGCTCCCGCCTCCCGCTCCTGCTCTCCCGATCGCAAAGAGTCGTGATCGCAACCTGCGATTTCTGGTGTGATTTTTCTCGTAAAATCCTCTGCAACTCCGTGGACGTAGGCAATTTGCCGAACCACGTAAATCTTTGTGTTCCGCTATGTGTTCTTTTCTGGTGTGATTTTTCTCGTTCTATTTCACTTCGTCGATCGTTCTCCTGTTTGATTTATATATATACCACACAACTGATATATATCTAGATCTCGTCACAACACTTTCCTCTCTTTCAATTCCTTCAAACCAAACAAACTCTTCAAATTTTTATATACATAAAAAAAAATAAGACTACAAGATTAAATAAATAAATAATTCATTAAAATAATGAGGTATAGTAAAAACCAACAATCAAAAGGGAAATGATACAACAATGCCATCTGTATAGCATTAATCAAATGAAAAGAAAGGATAAGCTCAATTACTCTATTAAAATATTACTTAGTTGAAAAAACTATACCCATTACCACAATTAAAAATCAATTTAACTAAGTGTGTTTCACTGCTAGTAATAATAATAAAAAAAATTACATTTTGAATCTGTTCACCTCCTTCCTTAAGCACTATAAAAGACCATTCAGATCAATTCTTTTAATCAGCAACTTCTTAGTCTTTCTCTGCAACCCTAAACTCTCCAAATGAAGCTCTTCAGCTTTCTCCTTCTGCTCACGCTTATTTCAGTACCATCTGAAGCTATTTTGGGAAGAAAGATACTATTTTCTGTAGAGAAAACTGAATCAAAAATAGATAGAATTAGAAGCAGGAGAAACCTACAGGAAGGGATTACTAGTAATGGAAGTCCGGTTTATCAAGGAATAAACAGTGATGGGCATCATACTATGGATGCTCAGACATGGGAAAAGATGCATCCTAAGCTCCCAAACTAGCTTGAAAGCTTAAGTGAGATCAGGGTTGATAGAGCTTATCAGAGCATGGAAACTACAGAAACAAAGGTTGAAGGTGAAGTGCAGTACTGCAGTAGTATCGTGTTGTAGCTTTATGATGAGCAATATGATCAGTAGTAATATATATATATATATATATATATATTGGCTACTTGTCTTTGAAGTTACACATGTCTACTTCTCATGTTTGATATGTATATATAAGCTTCTAAGAAATGTGTCTCAATATATAATAAGTTGAAGTTTCACTATAGAAATTTAGCCTATTTTTTTAGACTATATTTTTGGCCGTCAAATTGGTAAATATTAGAAAACTATCGGTTAATAAGAGTCTGAAGGCTTTTTGTTGACTTATAGGGCATAGATAATACATTTGTTGGTAATTATATAATATAAGGGCTTCTCGAATATTTTTATAAGCTGACGGCATACCGACGAGTAGTAACCGTAGGTTATGCTAAAAACATAATTGTTGATAAGTCATTGGTTAGCCACATGATATATACAGGTTGGTTGGATGTCATATGTTACTATATATTGAAAACATAGCCCTTGATTATTTGTCGGTTGGTCATCATAGGCCTTCCAAAACTTGAAGTGCATGATAAAACATCAATTCTATTTATGTGGGAGATTTTATGTGAGAGGTTTTATTTAATTATTTAGTTTTTGCAATATGTGATAATCTTTTATCAATAAATATTGCATATTTATACACATAAGGCTTTGGTGCTCTAAATTTCTAAATGAAAATGTGTATTTCTTCTAAAAATAAAATGATAATAGCACTATTTTCTATGTGATATTAAAGGTTTGAACGATATGTACATGGATATGAAAGTTAAGGTGTGGGATATGTAAATACATAAGAGTTGTGGTGTTTGTATAATATCTCTCAAAATTTATGTGTTGAAAAAGTAATGTTCTCAAAAAATGTGTCGGGCTGAATCTCTCTAAGGGAGGACCATAAATCAAAACATATAGAAGTCCAGACGACCAAAAGACTAGGGGACCAAAAGTCCATGCGAACAGAAATCTGGATGACCAGCATCCTATACGATACTGAAGACAGTAGTGCCACGAGTTCACTTATGTAAAATGACCAAAAAAATTACACGTACAACCCTCATTCAACTAGGGTTAAAAGTACATTTTTCTTTCATTGCACCCCTACTATAAATAGGGGGACACTTCATGCAAGAGGGACCTCCCTTTTGGTGGCACTCTAACTTCCCCCTTGTATTAAAAATATTCAATTATATAAGATCCCTATAATGCCATAATTTTCCCTAAAGGGGCAAGTCACCACGCACACCACTCCCACCCCGCCCCCTCTCTCTCTCTATTTTTCCTAGCGTTCTAATCCATGAGATGTGATTGAAGGACAAATTCATATTCAATATCCAAAAAAGCTTGGTGAGTGTGAATTATACCTCGAACAAGAAAAAGAGGAAGATAATGAGAAGAATCGATGATTAAATTTGATCGGGCCAAGTCCCAATCAACTCAATCGGAACAACCGACAATCTCAAAGACCAGAATTCCATGTGATATGAAGTCCAAACGTTCATATATCCAGATGACCAGAAGCCTAGACAACTAGAAGTCTAACGAACAAAAGTTTAGGATGATCCGCAACAATAAATTAGGTGCACTTTCATTTCAAATTTTATGTGTTTCATTCATAAAAAATGATAAAAAAAACTTTTTTTTGCATGATCATTATTCTAAGAATACTAAAAAAAACTCAAGAAGTTCACGCAAGGGATCATCAAAATCAAACTAACACAATGGAACTTGAACCCTAGTAGTAAGACTGAAAACGACATCAAGACGTCTGAGCAGTAGAATACATAGGGAACTAGCCTACAATGCTTGCACATTAAAACCCAATGTCTCCAAACTTGAATCAGATAAAGTTATGGAGGTGATTCCCTGCTCGTTAGCTGCAATCTCCGCAAAGAGTACCGAGCAAATCACTTAGAAGCGAGTTCGACGGTTACCCTCGTGAAAGCAACGACAAAATATGCTTGGTAAGCTCAGCATAGAGGGTACCCTGTTGAAGGTAGAGATCCAACCAAGAGGCTGAGACTTCAGAAAGTGTAAGACGTGAGTCGCACCAACACTAAAAACAGACAGCGACACAAGCCGTCTGATCGGTAGCAAACTCTTAAAATGATTGATAGCGGAGCAAGACTCCTAAACAACATTTAACGCTAAAAACTGACTCTCAATGGCCAGACATAAAAAACCTATGCTATCTAAACTCGATACAGATAAAACTACGAAGGTGGTTCCTTGCCCAATAACAAAAAACCTCGCAAAAGGGTACTGAGCAAATCGCCTCAGAGCATGTCTCGACGGTCATATCCGTTCGAGGAAATGATCTGACTGAGCAAATGAGATAGGTCAAATAAGATTTGAGCCGAGTGATGAACAATTCAAAAACAACCAAAAAAACCCCCAAGGGACAAGCAAACAACCATCACAAAAACATCTCAAATAATAAATCAAAAAATAAAATTGCAATAAAGGTAGTACAAAGTAAAAAGTTGATCGAGAGCTTCACTTTATTTTCTGAAATGAAAAATTTACAAATTTACAAATTTACAAACACTTCTTTTCGAGTTAAAAAAAAATGCAAAAAACCATAAGTCTAGACGAATATAAACTAGGATGACCAAATGTTCAAATGCTAGAAGCTAGGATGATCATAAGTTCGGATGATATGAAATCCTAACGATACAAAGTCCTAACAATAAGTGGTCCAGACAAACAAAAGCCTAGATGACAAGAATTATGGATGCATGGAAGTCCGGTGAAGCCAATAGTCAGGACAAATCCTTCGATCGACAATGCTAACCGAGAGCTGACATGAAGTTCGAAGTACGTGAAGCAAAGTGCAAAAAACGCTAAAACCAAGGGAGTTTCAATTAATGAATCATTGTGATCACATTTTTTTTTGCATTAAAATACTCTTTTTCTTATCACTGATTTGTTTTCAAGAGATTAGAGAATCAGTAAACTAAATATGTACAAAAAATATGTCAAATCGTAACTCTTAGAGGGACAATCAAAATTCGCGACGACCAAGGGTCCGAACGACTGTAAAATTGAATGACCACGAATCCTGACGACAAGAAGGCCACATAAATAAAAGTTGTGTCGACTAGAAGTTTGGACGACCAATAGTCAGGACAAGCTTGAAAATAGTCGGGCCACGAGCTCACTTATGTGTGATGACAAAAATAATCTGCATAACCCTCCTTAAATTAGTGTTAGAAATATAATTTTCTTTCACCGCACTTCTTTTACTATAAATAAGGGAGTCATTTTATGTAAGAGATGCCTTCATTTCGAGGCTCACTCCGCTCACCATTTATTAAAAATATTTGATTACATAAAAAGAATAACAAGAATCTAGGAATGTTTTTATTTGCCCCGCAAGTCGCCACATTGTACCCTCTCATCTCCTCCTGACCCTCTAATCTCTTAAAGGGCAAAGTCTATTAAAGGAGTAAATGTGAAGAATCATGTGATATGATCGTAAATACCTCTTACAATACTTGTAATACTAATTGATCTATCATTTAAATAAATAAAAAAAAAACAAAAAACAAAAAACAAAAAAGCCAGGAAAGGGAATTGGCTCCTTCGCTCGAGTTGCAGAATTGTACCTCACATCATCTTCCTCTCAGCCATTTTCATATATTATTAGTTATTGCTGTTAATCCACTTAAAAATCCTTTCTTCTTTTGGCCAATTGCAATCTGTTCTCTCTCCCCGGCCCCTCGGTTCCGCTGGCTCCCGTGATCGCCTAGGGTTTCTGCATCGCGGCGGTGTGAGGGGCAGCGGAGCGCAGATGGCGGCGGCTCAAGGGCAGGGGATCGAGCCGGCGCTTCTTGACGATATCATCAATCGGTTGCTCGAGGTGCGATCGGCGAGGCCTGGCAAGCAGGTGCAGCTGTCCGAGGCGGAGATCCGTCAGCTCTGTGTCGTCTCACGGGAAATCTTTCTCCAGCAGCCTAATCTCTTAGAGCTCGAAGCACCCATCAAGATCTGTGGTCAGCTCTCCCTTTCCTGCTCTTCTCTATTGAATGTTTCAGCTATGCGATTTACTTGTTGGAGATCCCGGGATTGAGAAGTCGTGCTTTTAGGATGGTAAATCGAAGTACTCTGAAAAGTTGATTTTTAGGAATTCAAGTTGATTGCTGGCCATTTTAGGGAGGAAGGATTTGTTGGTTTAATGGAATAGTTATGCTTCTGTTGATTAGTTTTTATTTATGTATTTTTTCCTCAACCTCTACTATTTCTTTCTTCTTTTTAAATCTTTTCGATGGGCTTGAGGATTACGGTTAGAGCAAGGAAAATTCGAATAGAAGATATTCAAAATGATTTCTGTAGGCTAGATTTATTGCCATAGAGAGCATTTTTTAGGAATGAATATATTAAAAAAAAAAAAAAAGAAAACAGAGCAAGGCCTCATAAAACTCACTCTAAATAATTGTCATATGTATATTATTGATGTGTTGATGTTTGGTTTGAGGAGAACGTTTTGTCTACTTATTGCTGCTTCTATTGGTGCGGGGAAAGTTAAAAATGTAAAATTTAAATGCTGATTGCATGGCTAGAGAATTTTTTCTTGATTCATTGATAGCTTAACTTTCAATGATAAAGATTATAATACTTTGAATGGTTATCATAATGCTGTTATTGATAATGTTAATGATGGGTATGAGCAAAGACTTTTCTCCACATGCATAGTATTGTTGCTGTTTCGCTCGTCATGGGTTTACTTTTAAAAAATACATATTTAAATTTTATCCTTACAGCTGGAGGAATTTTCCTGCAGCCACTAATGGCTTAGTTGAGGATGATAAAAAGTAATTATTATAATGAATATGTGATAAAATTAGAAAGTATAAATATGCTAATGGAAAATAGATTCATGTGGCTTCGGCATATATAATCACACCAAGAAAAAATATATGCCAAAGGATTAGGTAGTCAATAGTATGCTAAAGGTAACACTAGTATAGGTTATATAAAAAAATTTCATAGAATAGGTTTAGCACTATGGTTGTGTTTCTTTGGGCTCTACTTCAATCCTTTATGTGTTTGTCCATATAACCTTATGTTACAATCTTACCTTTCACAAGATATTTGAGCTTGACCATAGCTTTGAAATAGTTGTTAGTGATGTTTATTTTTGTTTTGCTGCATTAATTTACAATTATGCTCTATCGACGCCCTTCTCACATATCTTCAAGTTGTGAGGAGTGTTAAATGGAATCCACACCTTCCACTCTTGTTTCAATCACCATTTCATGACTTTTTTATTTGCTTACGTGGTTGATTTAGGGAATTTCATTATTTTGTTTTAAAGGCGGCTTCTTTGCAATTAGGTTTTGATGTCATGGGTCCCTATGATATTGGTCTCTCACAGAATAATTTGTACGCATAGTCTATTTTCTTATAATATTTTCTGTCATTATTAAATTTTATTTTTTTTAGGGTTTAGCACTATGGTTTTGTTTTCTTATAATATTAAATCTTATAATAATTTGTACCCCTGGAAGCGACGCGCTGTATAGCCTGAATACAGTGAAAAGTGTGCAAGGGCCGCTACACCGGCGCCCGGGTGTAGTGTTAAATAAGCAAGGGTTCCCACATTACGGGCGAATGCGGGTAAAGAAGTTAGTCCATGAAACTAATGAAACTAATATTAGGATAGGATCTTGGAATATAGGCACTCTCAAAAATAATTTCATACTTAAAACTTGAAAAAAAAATGAACAAGCATTTCCATCCTTCCTTATCCAAAATTTTAACTAAAATCATATTATGTTCTCTTCTAATGTTTATAACCTGATCAAAGCCCCTAGCTTTCTTATATCTTGCATTAATTACTCTATATATCTTATCTTCTCCTACCTTAATTCCAAGCGAATATTATTACTAAGCTTTTGATTTTTGCACTACAATCATTGCAAGAATACTAGCATCTTATAATTCATAAAACTCTCAAGAATATTTAATTTTTGACATTCTTTAAAAGAACGCTGCAATTCCAAAATAATCATGCTAATCCCCATTTCATCATCAAATCTCATTAACATCGAATTTATTTATGGACTCTCCTAAAAAATAGCAATCTTCTTAACATATCTAACCATCTTCTCCAATATTAAGTTTGGCTTACTTAAAAAAATTCCAATTGGCCTTGATCAACAAACTAACCTTTAAAACTTAACAATTTCAAACGCCACTACCTTATATTAACAAAATTATTTCTTTTGATTATTTTTCTTTATGTTCTTAAAATAGAAATCAATAACTAATCTATTGTATATTGCTAAAATTTCTCCTTTAATTATCTTACAATACTTCAAAAAGATTTTTCTTACCATATAAGTAAGAAAATGTCAATTTCAGTAATTTGGGAAGTCCACTTCAATAAGGAGTTAAATTTTCTTCAAGTTCATCATAATATGTGTTTGTAACTACATATCATTAATTACTGAGAGATTAAGAGTCTGTTTGGGGCAGTTGCAGTTGCGTTGCCAGCAAAGCTGGCTGTCTGTTTCTTGCGGCTGTGTGAAGGCAACTGTGAGACAGTTGTTTTGAAAAATGATCATTCTGCCCATGTTTAGTAAAATTGTTTAAAACAGAACTGCGACAGCGACATATTTGATACTTTAGAAGCAGAAATTTATTTCAAAACAGAATAAAAGTTCGAATACATCGCTCACTTAACAGTGAGTACCAAAAGTGCTAAGAAAAAAAAAAATAATAAAATTACAAGTAAGATAATGATGCTATTATTTTTAACATGAAGACGATGTATATCTCTTCTTAAGCTGTCCTCCAATGATGCTATCAATTTGCAATCACTTTTGGCAGCGGAATCAACATGACTGTCACCCATTGGAAAAAGTCACACTGTTCTGCAAACCTCCAGAGGCATCTGTGAAACTGTCGACCTCAGAAAGGAAGCGTTGAAAGAGACGAGACACTAGGGCAAAAGCGTCGAGGAAGCCGAGACGCTAGGTCAAAAGCATCGAGGAAAGAGCGGGATGCAGGGGTAGAAGCGTCGAGGGAGCCGAGACGCTAGGACAGAAGAGTCGAGGGAGGAGTGGGTCGGCTTTGAGTCTAGGGCAGAAGAGTTGAGGGATAGAGCGAGGGTACCAGCGAAAATAAGAGAGCTTTGAAGCATGCCGCGGGGCCAAACCCACGGCCCCGCATTCCGCCTTTTTTAAGGTTCATTGACTGCTGCCACAAAATCTAAACGAAAAAAAATGAAATTTGTCGTTTGGGGTCGCGCCGCACAAAATAAGCGGCACCCCAAACGGAGCCTAAGTATAGCTTATGCATAGCATTTCTATCTCTTATTCTATACCCACCATGAATCCATTCATAACCATAGTACAAAACCTATTGGAACAATATAATAATTTAAAACCATTTCTTAAAAAACATTATTTCTTGCTCAAATATACATTGAAAAAATCTATCGATCTTCCCAAATTGAATATTAAACTATATTTTAATCTGAACTTAAGCAATAAGCACTAAACAAATTCATAATGTTTTATTGACAATTATCCAAATAACAATTTATATCACTAACCCTATTCAGCCAATGAAAAATAACAATAAAAATAAATATTCATCTCAAAAATTTAATCTTTCAACCATCCATCTTCTGCTATCTAAACATAATTCATCTTTTTGACATTTTCAACATATAACAACTTATAACTTTCTCCACTGTTATTGGATTTACTCCTTTTAATATAAGTTCTTATAAAAAATAATATTATTCTTATGCTAACCATAGTGTCTACCATTTTTAATCATCATCATTAATCTTATCGCAATTATTTAAGGTCAACTATGAATCCTTTAATTCCCTTTCAATCCTATTGCAGGTTGCCTAAGGTATTAGAACTTCTCCTTAAAAAACATGCTAGATAATTTTATTAAGGTTACTTCAGTTCAACAATTATTAGAAAAAAAAGGGTAACAATTGTTGTTTCTAATTCTACGAACCAATTTTATCCTTTTCTGAATGGTGTATCTTGTAAACCACTTAAATCTAACTTTGATTACTTTATCTTCAATAAGCTGCTCTAATCTCACTCTCTCTCTCTCTTTAAAACACATACACAATATATATGTGTGCGTGTGTGCGCGCGAGTGTGAGTGTGTGTTCGTGTGTTCCATTTAAAGTCTCAGATTCCATGTAGCAAATCTAACTTAGATTTAGATCTAGTCAGCCTCACTTTTTTTATTTATTATTTTTTACAACAAATAGGTTAAACTGCGTTATGTTGTTTAAGAGTGACGTACTAGCCAACCCTTGCCAAAATTTTACCCAAATCGTGACAAAAACCTTCCATGCTTCACACTACAATAGGGTTAGACACTAATGCATTCTTTTTGTGCAAAGTCTTAAAGCTAGCATAATTAAAAGTTTGATTCATTTTATTAGTTTTGATGTGACTTTAATGACCAATTATCAAACTAACATCAACCCACAAACTCACATATATGCTAGAAACTGGTGATGGAAATTATCAAAATTTTTATTTTTTAAATTTTTAATTAATTAATTAATTAATTAAAATTTTATGACAGTGGTATTTTGATAATTTCCATCACCAGTTTCTAGCATATATGTGAGTTTGTGGGTTGATGTTAGTTTGATAATTGGTCATTAAAGTCACATCAAAACTAATAAAATGAATCAAACTTTTAATTATGCTAGCTTTAAGACTTTGCACAAAAAGAATGCATTAGTGTCTAACCCTATTGTAGTGTGAAGCATGGAAGGTTTTTGTCACGATTTGGGTAAAATTTTGGCAAGGGTTGGCTAGTACGTCACTCTTAAACAACATAACGCAGTTTAACCTATTTGTTGTAAAAAATAATAAATAAAAAAAGTGAGGCTGACTAGATCTAAATCTAAGTTAGATTTGCTACATGGAATCTGAGACTTTAAATGGAACACACGAACACACACTCACACTCGCGCGCACACACGCACACATATATATTGTGT